GGCAGGTCCTGGCGGGGACGCGTCCCTCCCGACCAGGGCGCGGTGCGGGGGGCGGGGGGGAGGGGTCGGCGAGACCGCCTCCGCCCTCAGCGCCAGTGCAGGGTCGCGTCAGGTCAAAGAGGCCCAAGCGGGGACCCCGGCCAAGGATGGAACGAAGGCGGGGCAGGGCGCGGCGCGGGGCGGTGGAGAGGGAGAGGAGAGGAGCCACGGTGTGAAGGGAGGTGTGGGCCGGGAAGGGATGCTGGGGTCAGAAGGGGTGGCCGGCGCCTGTCGGCCCCAGGAGTGAGTGATGGTGGGCCGAGGCACGATGCCTTGGTTCGGAGGACGACCGTGGGCGTCCCAACGCCTTCCTGGCGCCATCGGGAAGTGTGCCCAGCTTCCGTGGAAGGGCTCTGATCATTGTCCCATCCATTCATCCACTACCTCCTGACACCTACTAGCTCTGCCCTGGGAGTCCGGGTTCCGCAGAAGATCAGGCCGGGCCGGGCCGCCACAGTTCAGAGTGCGTGGGGCAAAGGAGGAGAGAGAGGAGGAGGAGTGGGAGGCATCACAAGGGACGATGCTTCCCCGGGGGGAGCCCTGGGCCAGGGTGCCAGCTGAGAGGCAGGAGGGCAACAGGAGACCCTACTGCAGGCAGTGTGGGATGGGCTGGGAGAAGAGAGAAGCCTGGGTACTGAAGAGGGCAGCCCGGTTCTTGCTGGAGGGCTCAGAGGAGCACTGCCTGGGCACAAGTGTTCTCTTCTCTCTCTCTCTCTCTCTCTCTCTCTCTCTCACACACACACACACACACACATGCACACTCACCACCTAAGCTAACTGCTGTGGACTTTTGGGGCTGGAACTATCTTACCTGTCTTAAGACTCCTGTGCCTAGCATACAGCAGGTTTTTATTTTATCTATGTATGTATGCATTTATTTATTTGTCAGGGTCTCACTCTGTCATCATAGCCATGACTTGCTGGGCTCAGGCGAGCCTTCCACCTTGGCCTTCCAAGTAGCTGGAACTACTGGCCAGCTCTGAGCCTGACTTAAAAAAAAAATTATACAGACAAGGTCTCACCAATTGTCTACGCTGGTCTCGAATGCCTTGGCTTGGGCAATCCTCTCCCCTTGGCTCCCAAAGTGCTGGGATTATAGGCATGAGCCAGCCACTTTGCCTGGCTACAGTAGGTTTTGAATAAATATTCCTTGAATCGAAAGCACCCTCTGAGGGAGATAAGGACAGGGTGTTTTGGGCAGAGATTGGAAAGCAGGCTGGGAAGAGATTCCATTCAGGATTTCTTGACCAGTCAAGTGCAAATGCCCACATGGAGGGAAACCCCCTAACCATGCCCAGCTTACTTTCAAGGTGTCTGGTACCCTCTGTGGTTTCGTAGAGTGAGAACAGACCTAAGGTGGAAACCAGACCTTGCTAACAGGCTGCTGTGAGGTGGGTCTCACTCCCTCCACCTGTCTGGTCCAGGTGAGAGCTGAAATTAGGTAGGGCATCTCACAGTGTAGGAGATATTTAGAAGAGGTGCTCCCCCTTGTCCCATAATAAGGTCATACCTACTGCATACCTACATTGTTCCAGCCCCTTTACATGGTATAATCTCTGGTCCTCATGGCTCTATTTACACCTTGGTTCCACATCTGGAAGCTGGCGTAGCAATTCTTTCTCACAAGATGCAGACTCAGGGACATGCAATCTCACAACGTCTTTCACCTTGTCGTCTATGCAGTTGGGCTCCAAGTGACCATTTACATAGACAACAATGTGAGTGGTGTCCCTGGAGTTGTGCAGCGTGGTGGCCTTCCTGCCAAAATTTCTGTCCCCATTTTATGGACACAAAACCTTGGGTTCCCCAAGAGTTTACCTAGCTGGTAAGCAGCAGAGGTTGTGAGTCAACCTTACATGAGTCTGACGTTGGAAGTGGTTCTTTTGATCCCGTCTCTCTCGACCCCTCTCGATGCTAGCTTACCCTGGGTATGTTATGTGATGGTACCTGTCATGTCCCTGACTTATCAAGCAACATCCTGGATGAACCAGATACTGGCCAATGGGTAAGCATGAGTGATGGAAACAGTGAGAGTAATGACGTCAGTGCTTGTGGGACATGAGGATGAAAAGTCTCTTGGTCAAACTCCATGTCTGAAGTTGCCAGTTCTCCCAGAATGGACTCTGCCCTGGGAGGTTCAAGTTGGGGCATCCAGGCCCTCTGAGAGGGACCTTCAAGAAACTGCAGGTGGATGAGTGCCCAGCCAGTCTTCAGGTCGCCACCCTGAAGCGGGGCTCCTGACAGAGTCTGCCTGGGGCTGTCTCTGAACTTTGGGTTTTTTTTTTTTTTTTTTTTTTTAGTTGGAGCCTCACTCTGTCGCCCAGGTTGGAATGCAGTGGCATGCTCACTGCCACCGCAGCCTCAACCTGCTGGGCTCAGGTGATCTTTCCAAGTAGCTGAACCTACAGGCATGAGCCACCACGACTGGCTAATTATTTTTTAATGAATTGTAGAGACAAGGCGAGGTCTCACCAAGTTGCCCAGGTCGAGCCCTTGGACTCTGGCAATCCCCTCACCTCAGCCTCCCAAAGGCTTGAGCCACTGTACCCAGCTCACTTTTATTTTTTCGGCATCTCACTCTGTCACCCAGGCTGGAGCATAGTGGCACACTCACAGCTATTGTAACCTTGACCTGCTGCCTCAGCCTTCCAAGAAGCTGGAACTACAGGCATGCACCACCACACCCAGCTAATTTTTCTTGATTTATTGTAGAGAAGCTGTCTTGCCAAGTTGCCCAAGTTGGTCTCAAACCCCTGGACTCAGGCAATCCTCTCGCCTTCCTTCACAAAGTGCTGGGATGACAGGCATGACCCACCGCGCCCAGCTGGGATGTCACTATGAATGCTCCACAGCTGTCCAACCTGGGCCTGACCTAGACTTATGACATGTGTGGACCAGGGGGAAGCCCAGTAGAGAGAGGCAGACCCCCAGAGCTTAGGCTAGGGGACATGCAGCACTGGATCCAAATCTTGGGTCTTCTTTGAGCCCATCATTTAACTTCTCTCTTCGCATAAATTGCTTTACCTTAAAACAGCCTGAGTACAGGGTTGAGAATGTCTCTGGGCTGCCGAATTAGCATGGAGCCAAACTTCCTGGGGCCGGATTTTTATTCTATCATCTCCTTGGACCTTGTGAACATTCCCTAAACTCTTTGTGCCCTCTGTGCCTCCGTTTTCTCATCCCAAAACCAGGGATAATGGTAGTACTACCACTTAAAATTGTTATGGAGATTAAAAACCACATGGTGCTGGAAATGGTGACTAAACCTGCTCCAGGAGTACAAAATGGGTCCTGTGAACATTCACTCTGACTGCGCGCTTGCAGGAGGACACTGCTTGGGACTGGTGGCATGGTGGTGGACAAGGGCCTATTCCTGCCTTTGTGGAATCTGGGCCAGTGAAGAGAAGCGCTGCTGGCCCTGGGGACCCAACACATTGTGGCTCTTACTGGTGTTGGTAGTGGGGTACCAAGCCCTGATCACATTGAATCCACTCAATTCCTCTGTCACAAATAAGACACTAGAGCTCAGGGAGGTGGACTCAGAAGGGGAGGATGCTGTCTTTCTCCTTTACCCTGGGGCTGGTTGCTCCTAGCACCAGCTGCAGCCTCATCTTCCCCACTAGCTGCCTCCCCATGGCAACACCTAGCCGTTGGCAGCAACTTTTGGGGAGGGGTTGGAAAATGCAGAGAAGAGAAAG